ACCAGCTGTCCCATTTTGATGTCATTTTTATTCCACTCCTGAAAGATGGTTGCTAAAGAGTAAGAATTTCAAGGGCCCTGCTCTTAGAACTGTTTCCCTTTACCTACTTGAACCCTTCACCAGCATGAATAAAGAGTTTCTCTTCTAAAGTCAAGAGAGGCATAAAGCCTCCTTGTACTCCCAGTAAAGATGCTAGAGGAGGTAGAATGAGTCTTTTGTGCTATTTCCAGTGGTCAGAATAACCTCTATTTTCTCTTCATTTGGGTTTCAGTACCAGTTTCCGTTCAGAACACATGGCTGTGGTAGCTTCTAGGTGACACATTTGAAAAATCAGTACCACTTGTTTATCAGTGCTTCCTTCCCAAGTATTCTGTCTCCTATGATAACTGTTCTCTCAAGGCAGTGTCCTGAAAACAACTATTGTATTACACCTTAAGGTTTACAAAATCCCTTTGTATTCATTCCTAATTTCATTTGAAATACCAGATATTCAGTATGGCATTTAGGAAGCAAAACGAAAATAAAATATTAGATTAAAAGTTTGTTTAGAGGAAAAAAGCAAAGTACTGGAGTCTACCACTAACTCTGTTCCTGTCTGATGACAAAGTTGCTTAGTCTAGCTGAGCTTTGGTTTCTCTACAAGCGTAATCAGCCTTGCAAAATGACCCCCTCCCTAAGTTATTTTTTGTTCCCTCAGACTTTACCGGTCAAGCCTAACAACCAGACTTAACTAGCCTAGGACTCACCATCCGTCACCAAGAGCTGACTCTTGAATCAGACCACCTGAAGATGCTATGACTTCAAACCCCACGCAGCCAGACCTGCCTTCCACAGCCCACTATAAAAGCCCTTGCCCATAGTCAGCTGGGGAGACAGATTTGAGACTCTAATCTCCTGACAGACGTCTTTTGTATTAAAATTCCTTTCTTCCTTGGCAATCCTCATTGACTCAATAATTGGCTCTTTGTGCAGTGAGCCACAGGACTTAGCCTGGACCCTTTTCTGGGTTTGGAAACATGAGGATTTAGCTTAGATAATCTCTAGTATTCTTTCCAGTTGTAAAATTCTTGACAACCTTGGAAGGTAGGCAAGACTTACCCAAGTCTCCCTATCAAATAATCATCCAAGTTTTCTTTCCCAGTGCTAAGTTTTTGCATTACATCAGGCTCTCCCCTTCTAGTAATAAACAAGTCATTCTGCACCCCCTAATTAATGCCTCAAATAGTTTCACTTTTTGCATAGAAAGAAATCTAAAATTATTTACCCTCTAGGTTCCAGTCACATGAGCCTTCTTTCTGTTCCTTTAACATGCCAAGGTTATTCTTGTTTGGGGTCTTTGCATAGCTTTTTCCTCTACCTTGAACACTCTACCCCTAGATTTTTACATGGCTGTCATTCAGGTCGAGGGCTCAACTCAAATGCTGCCTCCACAGAGAGGCCTTCCTTAACTGACCGATTTAAAGTAGCACCCGCATTCACTATTATATTATACTGTTTCATTTTCTTCAAAGCACATATCACCATGTTATTAATAATTTGCTTACTTTCTTGTTGTCTATCTCTTCTGACTAAAATGCAAGTACATGTAACACTTATACAATGTGCAATAATCAAATCAGAATAATTAGCACATCCATCACCTCAAACATTTATTATTTCTTTATGTTGAAAACATTCAAAATCCTCTTCTAGCTATTAAAATATACGATAAATCATCATTAACTGTAGTCACCCTACAGTGCTACAGGACACTAGAACTTATTCCTCCTATCTAGCTGTAATTTTGTATCCCTTAACAAACCTCTCCTGACCCCCTCCTACCACCCCTCCCCCAACTCTGGTATCCACTATTCTACCCTCTGCATCTATGAGATCAACTTTTTTAGCTTCCACATATAATTGAGAGCATGCAGTATTTATCTTTCTGTGCCTGGCTTATTTCACTTAATGCAATGTCCTCCAGGCTCATCCATGTCACCTCAAATGACAAGATTGCATTCTTTTATATGGCTGAATAGTATTCCATTGCATATATGTATCACATTTTCTTTATCCATTCATCCACTGATGGACACTTAGGTTGATTCCATATCTTGGCTATTATGAATAGTGCTGCAATAAACATGGGAGTACAGATATCTCTTTGACATACTACTGATTCCTTTCCTTTAGGTATATGTTTGTATAGGCACAATTATTATGTGTCAATTTTT